TACCTAATTCTTCCACCATTTTAAAGAAAGCCTTTGGAAGTGTTTTCTTAACTTTTTTATTTACTTTCCTGATTTTATAAACTAGTTCCACATCTACAATTGCATTAAAGTCTCCTACTATACATATATTTTCATACTCCAATCATTTTCTTATGCAGTTTACTGTTGTTCTGGTCACTCTTGTTTCTGTTTTTTTGCCTTTGCTCCTTCTCTCTGCTATTTCCTCTGACTTTCTTTCATCTTTTTTTGTTGTTGTCTCTCCTGTGGATTTCTCTATCCTCTTTTTCCTTTCTTACTCTCATTTCCTCTTGTGGTACAAAATAGTGATGATAAAATTATTCTGCTTTTTCTATGAAATCCAATCTATGTCTTTGCTCCATCGAGATCACCAATATTCCCTCCGGTGTAAACCATCTAAAGTTTACTCCATTCTTAATGAACTGTTTTGTCAAAAATTGATATTCCCTTCTTATTTCTCTTACTCTTCTGGGGATCTGTTTTAGGACTACTATTTTTTTTCCTTTGTACTTTGAGGGGTGATCCCTTGCTCTTTGTAGTATCTCTGCTTTTATTGTTTTTTTGTGAATCTCACATGTACCTCTCTGGGGAATCTGTTTCTTGTTGCATATCTATTATAAACTCTAAATATTTCACCCATCTCGGTGAACACCTTTTCTTTGGGTGTCTCTAAGGCATTTGCCATTATCTCTGCCAAATTTTCTCCCTTTTCTTCTTCAATATTTTGGAACCACAAGTAATAATCAGCCTTATCCATCTCAAATAATATTATTGTTCTCTCCTGACTTTTATCTGCCAATGTAAGTCTGTGGTCAACCTCTTCCACTCTTTTCTGTTTGTTCAGCTTTCTCTTCCACTTTCTGAATATGTTGTTCATTTTTAACCATTATTTGTTGAAGATTTGCCATTTTACCTCTACTTTTTCCTATTCTTTTCTTGATGTCTTCATGCATGGGTCGAATCATAGATTTCATCTCTGACTGCATCGTATTCATTTTCTCTTGCTGCAACATAGTGACCAATGATCTGCTGGACTAGATGCTGCTGATGCTAAAGATGGCACAGATGTAGTTTTCTTCATTTTGGGATGCTTTAATAAATTTAAATCAATTATTGAAAATAATAATTACAATATCCCAACAACCCCAGTATTGACCACCAACTTCCCTATCCAATTTCCCCTTTTACAAATCTATTCAAGAGTCAGAGTATTCAATGTTAGCATCTCTTTTTCCTTCTTCCTTATTCTTCTTCTCAATCTCCAGACAACGTTGAATACAGCTCATCAGTCTAGAACCCACATTATGTATCTGATATTAACACAGTGGAGAAAGTCCAGAAATATTTCACAAGAAGAGTTCTCCACTCCTCTACTTGTTGCAGAATACCTTATGCCACCAGACTTGAAATTCTAGACCTGGAAAACCTAGAACTATACCACCTTTGGTCTGATCTAAGTATAGTATATAAAATTATACATTGCAGTGTCCTACCTGTCAATGAATACTTCAGCTTCAACCATAACAATAGAAGAGCAAACAAAGATACAAACTAAGGTTAATTGCACCAAACTTGATTGCAGGAAATATGACTTCAGCAACAAAGTGGTCAATGACTGGAATATTCTACCTGACTCTGTGGTTTCTTCCCCAAACCCCAAAAACTTTAACCTTAGACTTTCTACTATTGACCTTACTCCTTTCCTAAGAGGTCTGTAGGGGGCATGCATAAGCGCACCAACGTGTCTACCATCCCTGTCCTATTGCTTCTTTTATTTTTTTATATGTATCCATGTATTCATAACTATGTTTTTATTTATACCTATTATCTTGTAAGCAATTGACAAACCAAATAAAAAATAAAAAATGTCACTTTTTAAAAACTTGTAATCCCAGAGGCATGTAATTATAATCCACAAAAAGAAATGAGATTTGTAATCCAAGAGGAAAGTAAAAATATAAATTGTAATCCAAGAATTATTAGACTACTTAGCCCCTTAATTCTTCAAAAAATGTTCTCTTCTTCTCTTGTAAAATTTGTAATCCACATAGGCCCACCAAGCCACAGAATTCAATCACCAACTTCTTATATCTTCAAAGGGAGAATTCAGAGCAAAAAGTTAAAGAAAAGGAGAATATTTTGCTGTTTTCATCTTCTGTTCACTTTATTTGTTTAGCTTCTGCTTGAGTCCCAAGAGCTGCACTATTCTAAAAGGTCTCAGTATTTCACTCTGTCTCAGGTATCTAGCATAAACAGCTTACTGGTGAAAGTGTTATTAATTTTAACAGCCAACCTTTATCTTCCTCAGCCTCTCATGGTTATATTTTCTTTTATTTCCTCCCTTGTGCCCCTCAACTTCTGCCAGCAGGTGTCACTGTTGTTCTGCTTCTCTCCTTTCTCTTCCTTTTTATTTTATATTGCATTAACCAATCCAGGTTTTTCAAAAGAAAAAAGTTATCTAAGTCCAAATTTTACAATCCCCCCAAGCTTCCAAGTTAGTCAATGTTATATTTGAGGTCCCCAGTCCAGCTTTCTAGTTTTAAAGTTCTTTCACTCTTTTAAAAAATTCTCTTATCTTCTTTCCGGCTTTAAAAATGGCTCTCAGGCTTGCTTGCTGCTTTTCTTGGGAGGTGGAAGGAAAACAATTCCACCTCCTCTTTTTTGGGTCCCACTCTCACCCAGGCTAATTTCCAGGGGGTTCGTTTCTCAATAGAAGTTAGATGTTAGAATTATCTCACCCAGATCGTTCACAGTGTTCCCCACACTTTCATGCTTTCTTCATCGGTCAGCTGTCACCAGGGGTGGGATTCTACTAGTTCTGTCCAGCTCTACAGAACTGGTAGCTCTGAAAAGTAGCAGACACAGAACCGGTTCTGTGTCTGCTGCTGTTTTGGCCCACCTGCCCACTCGGGCCCTTACCTGTCCTTTATTTCCTGCTTTTTCAACCGCAGCTGCTTTGTGCGGCACAGCTGCAGTTGAAAAAGCAGGAAAAAAGGGCTTTTCCAACCACTGCACACCCACATGCAGCGCTGCTCAGCTGTCCAGGCAGTTCAGCAGGTCGTAACTTGAACTTGCATTGACTTGCACATGCGCACGTGATGCAGAGCAACAGAACCGGTAGTTATACTGGTCAGATCCCAACCCTGGCTGTTACAGCTTCAATAAGGCATGCAATGGCTGTCTTTTTTCCTACCAGATTGAGAGCCTTCTCCAGATTGATCAGGGAATTTGTGGACTTCCTGAGATCAATGGGGTGTGCTCTCTTGCTTCATCACCCCTCTAAGATGATTTAGGTCCATCAGAACCTCCTTGTAATTATGTGTTGGGGCTGTGATATGTGCTGAAACTGACCAGGCTGCTTGCTGCAAAGATGCTAGCCAGATACCAGATGGATGCTGGGAGGCAGAGGCAGATTTTTTTTCTTGTTTTCCTCCTCCTCCTAATGTGCAACTTATAGCCCGGGCATCTTAGAGTGTGAAAAATACGGTATTTCCGTACCAGATTCCTCAATGCCTTCAAAAATGGCATGGCTTGTAATGTACTTGAAAAGTTTTTTTTAAGATTCAAGGAAATATTCAGAGATGCTTTGGTTAATTCTTCTTGTTGTCAGATTTCTCCTTAATTCTAGATTGTTTCTCCCCTTGATTAGTTTCCACCCACTGTTTCTTGTTTCTTCTGGTGCTTTGGAAAATAGATTGACCCGCCTCTTCTTTGGGAAGATGCCAGGATTCTCTGTCATTCCCTGTCTCCCAGAGTTTGCTCAAACCCATGTTCATTGCTTCATTGACACTCTCTAACCATCTTGGAAATAGCCCATGTTGAATATATAGCAAACATCAGGAGCTGACTAGAATAAATGTTTTATGATATTTTGTATTATCTCATAAACTGTTTTGTTATAAAATACTGTTATGTTATAAAAAAATGTTCTACAAAATTTGCCAAATTTGCATTTAGCATTCTGAAAATATGAAGTTGCCTTATAATTGGTATACCTGGCTTTACTTTGCCTATTGATCAGTGATGGAGTATAATGGTATTTTTATAAGGAGATAGACATTCAATTTCAAACAAGTAGGACATTCCTCCTGTATCAGTTAAGAGACTAGCCTCCTTATCAATTCACACAGGAACCATGAATAAGACACTTTCAGCTATTTAAGTTTATATCTTAGGAACCTTGAAAATAAATAGAATGAGGGGGGTGGAGAAGTGAAACAATCCAGGTGTTGAGATTTCTCTGCTACCTTCTTTCAATAGATCTTGGATAAAACACTCTGGAAGAATCTTGCTTTCCATGAGGGTGTATGGCTAAGAACTTAACCTCATTTTTTAATAGTCATGGGTAGATCCCTTCATGTTTTTCAATCTAGAGATGTCTGGGGCTAAGATTGGAACATTCTATCTGCTGTACAGTAAGATACAGTGCCCCTTTATTTGGTGAGTGTTTATTATCACTGGTAGGTGGGCTTGTTTGCTTAATGAATGTTACAGAGAAAAGATAGCAGTGAAAAAAATTGAACTAAAATCAGGAAATACAAGGACCATTACACATCTAAGCAATTACGTTCAGCAATCTGCAAGGATGGTAACTAAATCAGAGTAAATTATGAGTAGCAAAGAATTTATTGTACATCTATTCCCAATACCTTGCTAAAAATGCAGGCTGCGTCTTCAACCATATCCTCCCAAACAGATTGATAAAAAATTGGCCACTATAACTTTATAATGAAAAGAAGACATTCAATGGTTCCTGTTTGTGTGCTAATATTTTCTTTAGATCTAGGAATCTATGTATCATCAGAAGCTGTAAATAATAAAGTAATTGTAAATTACTTTATTATTGTAAATAATAAGTAAATGGAGTAAAATGCTACATAGGAATTGCTATTGTTCAGTTACAAGTGTAACAAAACAATTTAATATATAGTAATCTTTCTGTAAGTTGACAAAGATGATTTTAGTTATGGAAAGGAACTTACCGCAAGTGGCCAGCTGATGCAAGTTAATTTTCGATAGGCTCTAAAGATGTAGACAATGTAAAAAATGAAGATCATAATTAAGTCATATATGCAGACAATTTCAACGTAGCTGTATGAATTGTAATTTGTCCATGATGAAGATCTTACACAAATGAACCCAATCAGCAACAATAACTGTAGGAGAAATAGAACAAAACAAGAAGTTTGTATAAAGAATGCATGAAAGACTACAACTCCAAGAATAATAAAATATTCAGAGTTAACAATTTTGAAAAGAAAAAAATCCAGCTAAAAGACTAAAAATATTCAAAACTGGAGAAGAGAAACCATTCAAATACTTCCAAATCTGAACGTTTGATGAATTCATTCTATCTAAAGCTCATTCTGAACTAAAAGAGTGTGCTCTAAAAAGTAATCTACATTAGTTATAAGTTGTTCTTAGTTGATTTATGACCATAATTGAGCCTGCATTTTCAGTTATAAATCATGATAGTCATAAGGTAGATCATCACATGACTGTGCCTGATTTTATGACATTTTCTGTGAGGATCATTAAGCATAGACATTATTTGCGATGGGACATTTTTCACCAGAAACAGAAAATAAATTCAGAACTCTGGGAACAACATCATAAATTGCAATTGTGTCATCATGGACACTGCAAATGGCCATATGTTGAGTGACCAAAATGTAGTCAAGCAATGAGTTGTAAGTCAAGGACTACCTGTAGTGGAAATAATAAGTCAGAAGTAAAGAAATACATAATTAGTAGTAGGAACTAAGTAATGTACCTCAATGTAGTAAACAATGTTTTGAGTTTCCTAGAAAGCAATAATGAGAATATTTATTTTTGTGAATAATAAAAAAATAAAAAGCACAACATAGTAAAGATGAGTGAGAGAGGTTGTTGAAGATGATAAAAACTCATTGGCATTTATAAATTTCTTAAGAGTAGAGATGATATGGGTATCCTTGACTTACAACAGTTCATTTAGTGACCGTTCAAACTTATAGCAGCACTGAAACATGACTGTTTTCACATTTACAACCATTTCAGCATTCTGATCATTACATAATCGAAATTCAGATGCTTGGCAATTGACTCATGTTTATGACAGTTGTAGTGTCCTGAGGTCAGGTGATCCGTTTTTGCAACCTTCTGAAAAGCAAAGTCAAAGCAAGATTCACTTAACAACCGTTAAGTGAATAACTATGGCAAGGAAAGTTATAAAATGCGGGAAAATTCACTTCTATTAATTTCTTAATAGAAATAAATTTCTGTTTCTTAGGAATAGAAATTTTGGGCTCTATTGTGGTTAAGTCAAGGATTACCTATATGTAGACTGTAAGTATGTATGTATGCATGTAGTAAGCCGCCCAGAATATTTGCATTAAAAAAGGCAGGCTCTATTTTTAAACATCAATAAAAATTAATATATTTTACTATTCTTTACCTGGGAGAAAATCTCATTAAACTCTGTGAGATATACTTCTAAATTGGCCAGTAGCAAATTTATTTATATAGTGCTGTAAATAAATTTTACAGTTCAGCTTTGGACCTGAAGACAAAAAGTGCTTCTGAATTAATGGGGGAATCTGCATGTAGCACTGATGTGCAGTTTTTAAAATCAATTGAATCTTTCTACCTTCTGAATCTCATTTCTGTCTTTGAGTTTGAAAAGATGGAGTGAACTGTGAAATATGTTAGATCATTTAAGGCATAGAGAGCAGGACTACCAGAACAAAGCAGCAGCAACAGCATTCTTAAAACAGAAAAAGAGTGACTGTTCAATCCATTATCATTAGCACAAGCACTGAAAGCTTTGCATGAAACAATTGCATGTTTTAATGAATCACACAACACATGTGATAAAATAAACTGGTTAAGAAATGACTGATTTAACCCGAGAATAACTGCATTGCTTTAAATATGAAAATATATTCATGCACCCAACTTTTCCAAATCTAATGCCATCCATAAGTTTGAGGATTCCAATATTTCTGGCTTGAGTATTCTTGCAGTTTTGGCTCCAAACTTTAGTGTTTAGAAAGTCTGATTGGGAATAACATGAAACATGGAAAATTCAATGTATTTTTAAATTTTTTTACTGCTTAAGCAAGAAGTTAAGTAGCTTTCCCCATTTTATGAGCTCATAAAAAAGGGCTAAAACTAGCAATAGAAATGTTTGGCTGAATTGTGGTCATAAGCTGAGGACTATATAATAAAATATATAATAAAATTCATGGAAATCCTAACTTTACTGCTAAGAGCTTTATATGAGATTTTAAGTTTCATCGATTCTGCAAATATAACAAAATTCAACTTAGTGAAAAGTGAAATTTGTATTCTCCTAGAACATCACACATGCTCCATAATTCTCAGTTAACATGATAGTAATGCAAAATTTTCTTCAGAAAAAATGAGGCATTCTATTATATTAAAGAGCCTATCGAAGAATGGCTGAGATCAAAGTGACTAGATGGACATATTTTCATATATTGTGACTTTATCTTCTTCCAAGACTGTTATTTAAATCTCTCCATCCAATTCACGAGTTTTTCAGATGCTTTCATTCAAAAGCAATCATCACAAATCCTGCTTAACTTTTTCATGATAGGTAAAGTTAGTTAGATGCTGCCACTTGATGTGCATATTTTATTAGAGGAATTAAAAACAATTGAAAGAAGTGGGAATCTGAAGAAACCTTGAAGAGACTGAATTTAACTCAGGACACATAGCAATATGGATTTTCAATAGAAAATAATAATGCGATAACTACAATTTTCAGCAGTATATAATTTCTAGATCTTCAAATGCCTGGTTTGTGACCATAATAAGATACTGAATTCTTTAAAATGCCAAGAATGGTGTTTCTTTAGATTTTGCAATGCTTTTTAATTTTTTTGTTTAGTTTAGAGGAAGTGGTTGACTGTAAAATTAGTCACTTTCTAGTTTTCTTTGCAACAGGAAACACATATATAAACTTGTTGTAATTTTAACAAGTTGAACAATAACAATCAGAGAAAATTACTAGTAATTTTATTCTACTGACAAATTATTTTGGGGGATAATAATGATTTGTTAATGCAGAAACTTTCAAATACTATAAGTTTTCAAATGTTGTAAATAAGATCAAACAAATTTCTGACAAGCATAGCAGACATCTTTGTCTCACAAAAATAGAGAAGAGAAATAAAGGGTGAGCCATACTAGATTTATTCTCACTAACAGAGATTAAATTATAGAAGGTGATGAAGTTACAGGAACTGTGGGGAGAGGAGTCACCATGCAATATTGAAATTAAACTTTATGCAAGCTCAAGCAAAGCCAAACTAGAGACTTCAGAAGAGCTGATTTCAATAAATCTATAAAGAGCTTGGGAAGAGCTCATTCCATTGATGAGAATTCCTAGGGGGAAACAACCGGCAAAAGCTTGGGAAACTTTGAAAGTGAGATTGTAAAAGCACAGTGAAGAAGAAAAATAACAGCTCTCAAAAGAAACCATCATAGCTGCATAAAGAACTCTCTGATAAACTGAAAGACAAAAAATGTCTTTTTTTGTATTAAAAGTGGAAAGAAAACCTAAGGCTCAAAATGAACTAGTTTGCGACAAAAATAAAATTGCTTCTTTTGGTTTGTATTTGGTTAAGATGGCAAATGGTTTCAAAGAAATATATTTTATTTGGTCTTGTTTATGGCTTCTGGTTTTTAGTCTTGAAATAAAAAAATGAAATTAGAATTTAGTTTGAAAATTTAATAATTGTACTTACTGAACTGATTTGTAATAATTGTAAGTAATGTAAAAAGTTGAAGTTGTAACTGTAGCAGTATTTTACTGCACTGGAAATAGTAAGAAGTCAATACTTTTTTTCTTCAGTCTTGCCCATTCTGCACCCACCTTTTTAAATCTTCATTATCACTGTATTTTATGATATAATAAAACTTTCCTTATATACTGTACATGGATCTATGCAAGACATCAAGCTCCAGCACATCAAGTCAAGCATTAATCAATCAATAGAACATCACACATTCTCCTTATTTACTGTTCAATTTCTACTTTTTTCACACAGGCTTTTTAGTTCCTCTTTATGTTGTATTTATTACATTTGGCAGTCAACATTCAACTCCATATCTGCAGAGAATATTCTGCACTGCAAAATGCATTTTCTAAATCCACTGCATCATATGCATTCTCTAAATTGACAAATGTTGCCATTTTCCTCACATTAGCCCGTTAAAACAGCACTGAAAAAAGTGATATGACTTAGATCCAACCATACTGGCTAGTCAAGACATAATGGGCGTTGGTCTTACCTGACACGCCATTTCTCTTCGAGCTGCGAGGATCATCCAGAGAGTGGGAGGTGCTCCAGTCTGCATCTCTGTAGGCTGAGCTTAATTACTGAGGAACGCTCCGCCCTCCATCACGTGGGTCCCTTGCAGCGTTCCCCAGTTTATGCGAAGTCGAGAGGAAAGAGAAGGTCGCACTCTCATCTTATTAGGCTTAAGGGTTCATTGGCCGAAACAAGACTCCACCAGACGGTGAAAGGATAAGGGTGGGGCTGGATGATCCTCGCAGCTCGAAGAGAAATGGCATGTCAGGTAAGACCAACGCCCATTCTCCTTAGAGCTGCTTGGATCATCCAGAGAGTGGGACATACCAAAGCTTGGCTGTCCTACGGGAGGGACTCCGTCTGGTGTGGAGGCTCCCGCGGGTCCTCAATGACCCGCTGAAGGACTCGTCTGCCAAACAAGGCCTCCGCCAAGGCAAATATGTCGATCTTATAATGCCTAATGAAGGGAGACGGAGAGGCCCAAGTGGCGGCCCAACAAATATCCGAGATTGGAGCCTGAGTGGCCCAGGCTGCCGAGGTAGCTGCACTTCTGGTGGAATGTGCAGTAGCTCCGCTGGGGACTGGCAGAGCCTGAGACAAATAAGCCTTAGCAATAGTGGCTCTGATCCAGCGGCCAATGGTAGAAAATGACACCTTGTGGCCTAATGTCTTGGGTTGAAAGGAAAGAAATAGGGATTCGGACCTCCTAAAGGGTTGGGTACGCTTGATGTAAATACGAAGGGCACATCTCATGTCCAGGGTGTGCCACAGCTTCTCCCTCTCCCGCGAAGGATTGGGACAGAAGTTCGGGAGCGTGAGTTCTTGTGCCCTGTGGA